AGAGAAATGTTTAGATTAAAAGATATCACGATTTTCCGACGCCAGGACGTGATATCTTTCAAAATCGATAAAAAGCGAAATTACTCTGAAATGGTTGAGAATCGGACCATGGACAATATGAACTTTTTTGTTCATTTTAGGGTGAAGAATCTACTGGAGAAGTTTGTAGCACGAGTAGCAATTCACCCTGTATATACTTATATAACTTTATACATTTTTTTTAATTTTAAACAAAGATTTTCCAAACATATAAAAAAATTAAAAAATTAAAAAAATTAAATTTTATAAACTTTTCCTTTATACAGACGCAAGTTTAAAAAGTTCAGTATATTATATTAATCATGTTAGGAGTACATACATGAGAGATAGTCTTTTAGAGCTTTTTTATACGAATTTTGAGATTCACATGTTTTTACATAATTGGGAAGTTCGTTATAAAGTTGAATACTTCTTGGAATAACTGAATTTTGGTATGATTGTGTTCTGCATAATGGATTTCTATATATTTTATTTAGGCGTGTATTTTTTGATTGCTTGGGTTGGATCATTTCTACTAGGTAGGATGGTTTATTCGTCAATCTCGTATTGTTAAATAGAGCTAATATTTTATATTTTATTATGTCTTCTACTTTCAAAAGGTCTAAAGCTTTATATTTGTCATGTATTGTTGAATCATATTTTAGGTTGCATATATATAATATANATATATTATACATAAATTTAGCACAACTTTTAATTTGTGGGTATTGTTGTAATTTAGATGTGGTATTACAGCTAGACAGTATGTAACATATGGAAGCATTAAAACTTTATACAATTTCAGAGAGAGAGAGAGAGAGTGAGAGAGAGAGAGAGAGAGAGAGAGAGAGACAGAGACAGAGAGAGAGTATGTATGGTACAATCTACTGCAATATTTGAAATGGATTTTCTTCCTGTTGCGTACATTACTTCCAGAATTTAATAATAATAATAATAAAAAAGCGTTCCGCCTTGAAAAAGGATAGAACTTCCGAAACGTCTGCCAATAAATATACTGTAAGTAAAAACTAGAACTTCTGGTTGTGTGACTGTATTCCAAACAACAACCAATAATAAACAATGTTAAGAAATATTTTCTTTGTTATATTACAGGTAGGAAGAATGAGAATGCTCGTTTCATTTGTAGAACTATTTAATGCCTTTGATTAGAGTATAAAAACGAATTCCACGTCATATCAACAACTTGTGAGCGTTAGAAACTTGGCATTGATGGATGAGAAAAGAAGCTAACAATGGAGCAAGGATTCTTGAAGCATTGCTTGCTTTGGATTTCTTGCAAATACGTAAATCTCTAATAAAACCTCAAGTCTGAGTGAAAACGCAAAAAAATAAAATGTTAAAATTTATTTCAAAACTGACTTTCTTTACATGGTAAATTAACACAACACGATGCTTTTCTCAAAATATTTAAGAATTATTCTTATGAAATATTATCTTTTAACGGCTGCTGAAAATGTACACTGCCTATGAAGGTGGAACCGCGCGATGTATAAATGGGCATAAAATTACATTAAACAGTAGTTTTGGTTGTATCGCACGTGTCGTTCGGATATGATCAAGGAATCCTAAATCTAGACGGTAGAGTTAAGCATTAAGACGGTAGAGCCTGGCATAAAGAGTAAGACATAAAAGTGTTAAAGTGTTAAAATATGTGGTGTTTAGTGATAGGCTATGATTATTCGGAAATCGTGAGATGCGGTCTGATGTGATGTAGGTTTCAGACAAATATTTTCTTTATCGTGCCTACGTTTCGATCTTTATCGAGATCATCTTCAGGGCTCAAAGTGTTTGTTTTGTGCGAAATTGTATCAGTCTCATGTGTCGTATTGGGAGTGCCCACAGGCAATTTGAGCCCTGAAGATGATCTCAATAAAGATCGAATTGTTGTCGCGATAAAGTAAATATTTTTCTAAAACCTACGTCACATCAGACCGCATCTCACGATTTCCGAATAAAGTGTTAAAATACAGACCTGTATATTGAGCAGATGGAAATTTTAAAGTAAGGAATTGGTGAAATTTCTGTTTATACATTTACGTTTTAGTGGTCAATCAAGTTGCTTCTTTCAATTAATTATTCTTTCTATGTAAGGTCTTGGTGGAGATAAAAAAGTCAGTGTCACGAGCGGGATTTGAACCCACGACCTTCGGCTAAATACGCCGCTTCTCTACCACTTGAGCTATAGTGACTTCGATCCAGGCGGACACCAACTCTGCATACCAACCGACAAACGTTCGATTTTTCCTTCTTTTTACCATTTTCAAATGCCGTGTAATCAGGATTGGATTCTCAGCGACTTATGAAGTGGCCACGGAGGGCTGTTTAGTGAAGTTATACATCTTTTAACTTATTAAATATTAATCCATTTACGTTTTAGTGGTCAATTGACCAAGTTACTACTTTCAATTAACTCTTCTTTATGTAAGGTATTGGTTTAGATAAAAAAGTCAGTGTCACGAGCGGGATTCGAACCCACGACCTTCGGCTAAATACGCCGCTACCGTGACTTCGATCCTCTCGGACACCAACTCTGCATATCAACCTACAAGCGTTCGAATTTTCCCTCTTTTTGCCGTTTTCAAATGTCGGGTAATCAGGATTGGATTCTCAGCGACTTATGAAGTGGCCACGGAGGGCTGTTTAGTGAAGTTATACTTCTTTTAACTTATTAAATATTAATCCATTTACGTTTTAGTGGTCAATTGACCAAGTTACTTCTTTCAATTAACTCTTCTTTATGTAACGTATTGGTTTAGATAAAAAAGTCAGTGTCACGAGCGGGATTCGAACCCACGACCTTCGGCTAAATACGCCGCTACCGTGACTACGATCCTCTCGGACACCAACTTTCCATCTCAACCTACAACGGTTTGTATTTTCTCTCTTTTTGTCATTTTCAAATGTCGTTTCATTTTATACTCGATGAGAAACAAAAACAATCACACAGGAGATCCCGCCAATTATGTTATAATATACCGCAATTCCCCCTTTGAGAAAACGGATGATGTTGATTTTAAATGAGGCAGAGTTGCCGAGGGTCAAGAGTCAATTTGGCCGGGAGGGAGTCTGCGAGAATTGAAGGAACTGCGAACGAGGGTGGCCGCTCCGGGAGGGGTTGAATGAAACTCGGAACATAACGAGGGGCTCTGGGCCTTAATCAGGGGGTATTATGAGGTGGAGAATGGTGCGAAGGGGAGACGGGGGATCTGAATTATAGTGAAATCCCAGGCTGCCCTCGCCCTAGATTAGTTCTCCTGGACCTCCTTAATAATCCCGGACGCGGACCTCGTTATTGCTCGCTAACAGATGCTGACCGGGATGAGGACGATACAATTTAAAGACAAATGAGAAACCATCGCCCCCATTTGAGGGCTATTACATTGCTTTCGGACGTGCAATGTAAATGCCTAATTTATCATTGGAGCAATTTCAGGATAGGGAAGTCTAATGTAACGCAATCTTCATTACAATTTTAATAAATGTCATTTACAAATCCTCTTTGAAAATTTGCATTTAATTCTCTCTACCAATTACAGAAACAATAAAGGAATATCAACATGAAAATGACAACAAATGGAAATTACGTCAAAATGACAAATTACGGCAGATATATACAGTTGTCCAGGCATTTTCGTTTGCCTAAACCTTTTCTTTATTAAAATACCTAATTAACACTCTAACAAAATTTGTTTTAGACAGATATTTATAATCAAGTTGTCAGGTTTACACCCTGAAACAAGGGATATAAGAAGCAACTCATTATTTGAAAATATTATAACAAAATTATTTTATCTTCTCAAGAATTAGTGGAGTTACTACGAAGAAAATATTTAATGTGTGGTGTTTGGTGACCACTAATTAATTATTATTTGAGATCGTGAGATTATCAATATCGCATTAGCACTCTCAACACGACACACCTTAATGACACAGAAAACAAACAGTTTGAGTGAGTACAAATACTTTGATTAAATCTAACATTTATATCATTGTATAAATTGGTTTTTTCCACATCCTACATCTATTTGTACAATTTAAATAATTAAATTAAAAAATTAACTTCTTTCATTATTCGGAGATCGTGAGATGCGGTCTGGTGTGATGTAGGCTTTAGAAAAACGTTTTCTTTATCGTGCCAACGTTTCGATCTTTATTGAGATCATCTTCAGGGCCTGGGATTTATAAACATTGTTGTAATTATAAA